CATGTTACCTATATTATTACTTTTTTCTTCTTGCCCATATTTACTTGAAAAATCATTGGTTGCAAAATATGCAGTTCTGTACTTAGGCTTGTCTGTTGTTTATAAAAGCAGATGATTTTTTTGAGAACTGGGCTCAGAATGTATTTCTCCAATTCATTTGTACATGAATGTTTATGTGTTTCTCTAGAATAGATGCATGTGCTCTGGTATTGATCTATGTGGTATTATTCTTTAGAAAAAGGAAAAGACAAAACAGAACAAAATTTAAAATGGACCTATCTGCTCTGATTTTATTGATTTTATTGTTTTATTTCATAAGATACGATAGTCAAATCAAATGTTATAATTCTGGGGTTTTATAAGTTGTAGAAGAAATTTATCTATAAATAACTATAAAATAGCTGAATTAAAATTACAAGTAAAGCATTTCTTTATGAAGTGGTATACAGTAAATAGCCCTTTGTAAATGATGATTACTCTTGATCAGTACTAGCACATGAATAAGAAGATACTCAAAAACTTTGATAAGAGTTCATTCATGATTACAACTGTATTCCCAATGATAACTGAATTCATTATTTGTATGTGTGAAAGGGCCATTCTACAGATAACAATGTAAACATTACTTTCATAAAACTGATGAACTGCAATTGTGTTACAGTGACATTATCAATAGGACAGCTGTTTTTTCTTTAGTAAAATACTTGAGATGAGAAATATACCTCTTATCTGCATGCTGATATCTGTATTTCTCTGCTGGGAACTAATTTAAACACTTCATGAGAGATTGACATTTTCAGTGCCTTAAACGTCCTTAAAAGCTGCTTTGTTCATTGCAAACCATATTTAGTATGACCTCCTAATAATGTAGCACACCTCAAGTGTCATGCCTGTCTTTACTATGCACACTGGAGCTGTGTTCATCTATACTAGACAACTGCACTTCAAGGAAAGATTTTTTTTTTCTTGATAGGCAATTAGCAGTAATTAGGAAGATTCACTTCAGAAAGATGTCAACATGAGATTGTTTAAAAAAGTTGAATGTCAGTGGCTTTAAAAGAAGGTTTTTTTGCCTGACACGTAGGTATGGCATTTGAAACATGAAATGCTAATTTAACTTTTCTGCTTATTATTCATGCACAATATTATTTTGTCATTCAGATACTACACTGACAGAGTGCAAAGGGTGTTAAAATAGTGCTGCTAGAATAAAAAGAGGATTAATCTACCATTGGCCAATTAGCCAAAGGGTTCTTAATGGTCTCTAAAGGCTACTGAAGTCTAACAACTAGCTAAAGCACTGGAAAAAAGTCCTCTATATTACCTTCATTTACTTGACATTTTGTGAAACAGTCAGCTGCTGAAAGCTGCATTTGGCTGAAAAAAAATTTTAACTCAGTGATAAAGTAGATTTTACTAAAATTTCAGAAGAATAAATGACAAATAACTTTCACATTTTGTAACTTTTCCTTGCTTTTGGGCATCTTTGTTTCAATTTAGGGATAGCATATTAAGTCACCAAAGACTTTTCTGTTTCATATTTTGTCTTCATGTCTAGAATTCTAAGTAATCAACCACTTACAGCACTTGCATGAAAAAAAACTTTCACTGAGGATTTGGAGTTATTTGCCTTTATATGATCACATTAAGTATGCAGCACAGTTGGCATTTTAGTCTGTTATATATCTTTCATATTTCCAGATAGCAACATACCATTTTTAGTAATTTCAGCTTTTGGTTTCTTTTTCTTTTTGTGACGCATCAGGTTTTTATCGAAGAGAACAAAACGGGGTCAGGATCAATGGGATTGACTCAATAAATTTTGCCTTGGTTATTGTAAATAGGTTTATCATTATGTTGTAACATTTGATAGAGTGTGTAAAATTATAAATACCTGACTCTGTGCCTTTTGGTATGTTTAGAAAAGCTCTTTCATGGTTTGTGTGTGCAACAAGTACTTCTTATCCTGTATATATTTAGCAATCAAGCTAAAGCTGTAAGAAAATAGGATTAAAGATGAGCAGTGTTAAATTTTGAAATAGTCTTTGGTACAGGATATGCATATCTATGCATAGAGCAAGTGTATTTTATTACCTGCCAGGTTTCTTAGAGAAACCAAAGAGGAATATGTTGACTTCAGGTCTCTTACAGACATATCGATGCACATTGTGATGTTTCATGTGCCAGGGTTTTAGGATGGGTGGCAAATACTATTTTTAACCATCTGAGAGTATTTATATTAGTTATAGTTGGATTACTAAATAAGTAGTAAAATCAGGTAGTGCTATTGCTTAAGAAGGGTTTCAAGAATACCTGATTTACAGCCTATTTTATAATTTTGCCTAGAGTACATTGTGTAATATATTCTGCAAATATAAATGTATGGAATCATGTACAGCAGTGGCAGTGCAGTATGGGCCACCACTATTTTCATACATGCCAGTTGCAGGAGGAGGGTGACTGAGCTAAAAGCTCGTCACAGGTTTGTTGTGATGCTGAGGAGCAGTAGGCCACTCCAGGAGCTTCCTATATTAATCCGTTGGGCCTTCCACGTAGCTGTCTTTCTGAGCAGAAGGATTATGGTAAAAAGTCTTGCTGAGTCACTACAAGTTTTGCACTGACTACATAGAAACTGAGATTACATCACTTACTCCTTTGTGTACAGCAGAACAGAGTGTCATGGGTACACCAGGAGCAAGGAGATTAAGATAGATGGATGTTAAAATGTTGAATCTATAAACATCTGTTAAACCAAAACACTCTGGAGGAGGTGCAGCAGGCAAAGGCCACTACATGGTGGAGTAACAGCAGTAGCTGCCTTTACCAACATCTGGTCTAGCTGGTGTTTAAGATTCTAACTTCCATCATGGTGACCTCTTCCCCTGGCGTAAATCCTTTTTACTCTGTCACTCACAATTTGCATGCATGGTAGAACACACACAAAACCCCCGCTGTGTCTGAAAAAGAAACAAGAGAAAAAGACTTGACCTAAAACTTAGTGAGTGGTGAGGGGAAGCAGCATAATGAACTTGTTTCTTAAGTAAGTAAATACAAGGAATATCTTTTAGGTATAAAATATTTAGCCCAGGCTAGGGGGCTGTTTTTCACATCCTACATAGATTTATATAGAATTTTCACATAACCTTTCAATATATTGCAAATAGAAGAATAAAGCAATTGAATTATCAACCCTGTAACACCATTTACATTGTCTCCAGAGCAGTTAAGAGACAATCTTCCTGATGTCCTTGATTGCAATTGCGTGTCTGTCTTTGTCTACAAGCTGGGGGCTGTTTGTCTTGCACATCTTACACTACTCTCACTTTACCCTGGTAGTTCTGATGCTGTTTCTGAATTCTTGGACATTCATATCTGAAATATTTTTTTACTAGCTCCTAACTTAAGTAAGTTCTGTAACCAGCATAGCACTGTCTCTTTGGCATCTGTCCCATGAAAGCCCTTTCTTTTTCAATATAGTTGCTGTCGTATTGGGGAATGTAGCCACTGCAGTCATGGCATTTTAGACTAGATGCATTTTGGCAGCAGCAGTAGCCTAAGAAACTTCTGAGAGTCACAAGCTATCTTGGGCAGACATGGGGGCATTTCTAATTTTAATCAGAGATATTGATCTAGCTATGAATTTTTTTCCTTTTCTTTTTATGAATAATTTATTGCAGAGACACTGAATCATGATATTCTGCATGTAGAACTATTGGCTATACTGGACAAATTAACCTAATCCTTATATCCTTCTATACTTTATCTTTCTGTACTACTACAGTTTTTGCTTATTAAAGTAGACTTCATTTTGTCTTTTACTGAGACAATATTAATTGTGAGAATATATATATTTGATTAAGGAATAGCCAGTTAGAAAATACCTAAATGCTATTTTTCTCTTATTCAATAATGACAGCAGATGCAGAAGAGAATGAAAAGATTAACCCCTTTACTAAGAACTTACCTTGGATATATGTATAAAATGCCCATTTGCTTTAATAAATGCACTTAAGTGTGAAGTACTGTTAAGGTGGATGTAGGATGCACTTTCTTGTATCCGTGATATTTTTGGAAGTTAATGCAAAATCTACAAGCATTCTTATGTAATTTATAATGGGAAGAAATATGAACATAAGTAGTTTTTTCTTTTATTTGAATATATATGTGATCTTCAGATGATTAGTGTATAAACACAAATGATGTGTATATAAACGCATGTGTATAAAGTGTTTTTTTCTGCTCACGTAAAATAGTATAAAATCTGATTTTGAGCTGAATAATAAATGCTTGGAAATAGAATAGTATCTTTAACTTTCACCCATGTTTTTTTGTGTACCAATATATAATTGGGCATACATTTAGTCATTTCAAACTGCAGTATCTTCTCCAGTTTCTTATTGGGATTCTTCACAAAGGAAAGTTTTTTTGCCCATGAGAGATTTTGAATTACCATTTTGTGTAATTGTTCCTTATGTTAAAGTACAGTATTACAAACTTCTTTGGAATAATAAGATGGTACAGTAGTTACCCTCTTAAGGAGCCAGACTTGTTAGGCCATTGGTGACTTTGGCTGACTACAGATTCATAAAAGTTAACCATTAGCATAAAGATCATTTCAGTTCTCCATTTTGCAGAAAAAATAAATCAATAATATTTAAATTAAAACAAATATCTTATTTAAAAGCTTACCTCTATACTGTGAAATATATTGTTGCAAAGATTGAAAAAGTCTTGTCAGTTGTCAATCAAGTGCAACAATACTGAGAGTTTGTTTGCATGTTATTTATTTGAACTAAATCCCTAGCAAGCCTCGTCTGCTAATTGGACTTAGCATTTATGTTGCTAAATGAGAAGCGTTTTGGCTGCAGTATAGGGTGGTAAGACCTACCCAGTGGAATAAACAACTAACATCTGTTATCCTGTCCTGCTCCAGCTTGGCTTTTACCACTTAAGTACCTCAGCCCTAGAGTCAAGGTTATGGAATATGTGGTTCTCTGGCTATGGTGCATATATGTGAAAGGGAAGAAATAACACAACATGAGTACGGACCAGCCAACCAGAAGATATTTAGTGCAGCTGGTCCACTTTGCTTTAACCTCTACAAGCCCTACAAATATCAAAACAAAAGCCAAGAGAAAGGTGTATGTTTTATAGCAGTTGTCAACACAGCAATTCAAGTGAGCATGCAGTGGTCACCATTAAGATAGATTTGACATTTAACCACCTTTTAGTATGCTCTGTTTAGAAAATAATTGCTGAATCCCAGGGAGGCTCTAGGTAAAGTTTTAACAGTAACTACTGTTACAGTTTTATGTGAGAATTTTAGCCTGTCATGGCAAAAATACCAATGCGTACAGTCAAAATTGAATTAGCTTGCCTTAAAAAAAAAAAAAAAAGGAAGAAGCTTATTTTTCATGTTAGTTAACTTCTCTTTCCTGCCAGATTTGATCTTCATGTGGACTAGAAAATTCAACCAACAGCTATGCAGTGTGTCTATGGTTATGTATACTGTTTCATTCCTCTTGAATTCTGAACCAGAGAAGCATCTCATTTTTAGAATATGATTGTGATTGTTTCTTCTGTTTGTAAAACAGGTGTTGACCTCCAACCTGGCCAAGTGGCAACAGGAGAAGGAAGCTTTACAAGAAAAATTGAAGTTGAGAGAACATCTGTCTCTAACTGCTGGAAAGTGTGAAGCCACACCAGCTCCTTCAAAGAACATCGATTTGGAGATGAAACAGCTGCAGTGCAAACTAAAGGTGACAGAACAGATTATCTAGTCTTGAGGATAATTCATATGAACAGTATTTCATAACTGGGTCAAGCAGATATACATGTACTCACATAGGCATATCATTTATATATCTTAGCCAATGATGAGCAACTTAGGTGTTAGATAACCTATGGTGTCAAGTAGAAATGTAGTCATAAGGAGGAGAATTGAAAGTTACAATGAAAAAATTTTTGCAGATCAAATAAGCCAGACAGAGAGTCTTGCTGGGTTTTCACATGGTGATTAAATGCATCGTGTTGAAAAATGCTGTGGAATTACTTCAGTGGTAATTGTGTTGAGTCCTTGATTCCTTTAAGAAGGAAGTAAGCAACAGCAGTCTGTGAAAAGAGGAAAAATTTGAATTGATGGGGGAACTCAAAATGTAACAGTGTTATGTTACCTATATGTCACTACTATTCTTGTCTTCAAGAGACATCATTCTTTTTGTGTTTGTATTTTGTAGATTAGCTGGTAGGAAAATACTAACTTGTTGATGATGCTATTTTTCAGGTTTGAGTGATTCTGTTATATGTGGTTCATGTTGATGATGTCATTTTTCAGTTTCGAGTGAGTCTGTTATATGTGGTTCATGTAGATGTTGTAGTGTGCTGATGTGAGAGCATTCTCAGCAGGTGGCCTACCTCAAACATATTAATTCTTCCTTTCTTCTCACTGGAGGAAATACACGTGCAACTGAATGTCTTAAAGTTGGGGGTTTTCCATCATTTTCTGTTTAATATTTGAGGAAAGAGAGAAGGTCAAAATGGTTCAGCTGCTTGCTGCTAGAAGGAGCGGCACTCTTTCAAGTTAACTGCCAAAAGACCAGCTAGAATAAAATGCCATATTACACGAGTGATACAGATAATTTGAGTACTGGATTAGCTGTACTAGCACACGTGTTGGTGTAGTGCTCACACCTCTTAGCTGTTGATGGTAATCATGGTATTACAGATCTTGGATATAACACACTGGGTGCATAACATCAAAATTCAGGGATTAATAAAGGTAGGTCACATTGATAAAGAGATGAGGTCAACAGGGAGTAGCCATGTAAAGGCACATAATTCGATCTACTTTAATTATGGGAAAGATCTTGAAACCATACATGCTGACTTCTTGAGTGCTGATTTTTAGATTTGGGGTTGACTAATCTGCTTCTGTTGCTGGTGAGTGGTATTTTCTATCAGTTAGGGTTATTCCTTTTAGATGAGTGTGCTCATTATCCAGAAACCTAGCAGTCAATTGCTATATGAAAGTAAGAAAAATAAAAAATGAGCTTTTTGTGCATGTGTGTGTGTGTGTGTTTTTGTGTGAAGCACTCTTAAGAGTAACATGTCTGCTACATGTGAACTGCAAAATACATGGCTGAAAAATCCCAGGTTTTTTCTTTCTGCAGCAAACATTTAGCAAGCATATATAGATCTGATGTCAAAAATACTAATATTACTTCTAATTACTTCTTAAAGAGGTATTATATTTTTTATATAAAAATAAACCGTTTATGCAAGACTACACATAGAATAAGCATAATCTGTGACCTCAAATACAGATTAGTAAACTCGCTAGTTGCTGAATTGGATGAGAGTTTTGACTGTAAGGGCCTGAAAAGCTATTTAAATCAAGTTACTGGAATTCTTAGCCTTGTTTTGACCTAATAATTTTTCAAAAATTTAAGTTGTGCAAGTCATTTTTAGCAGAAGAAATTGTCAGAAGTTATCAGCTACTGGTCCAGCTATCTAGCATACTTAAAAAGGGGATACCAAGATAATTTCCAAAATGGCTGAATGTGGAAGAAGCAAAAGCTTTCCTCAAAGCTCAAAATTTCAAAGTGCTTGGTTTTGTTAGTTAATCTTTTTTACTTAGAGCTATCTTTACAGTATTTGTTTATGTTGCACGTAATGAGTCCTTGTATCTTTGCCAATAGGAAGTGTATAAGTGGGTGGTGAGACTGGAAGCAAAATACCATAAGCATATGTCTTCACCTCTGAGCGTGTGCAGAGGCCCACCTAAATATTCAAATTCTTATCTGGTGTGTAAACCATTTAACTGGGTGCTGTGCTTCACACTAACGAAGCTCAAGCTCAACAGCCGGGTCTCAGGAAACTCAGGAATATTGTGCTAGCATACATCATTTTAACTATTTTCTGATTATACCTCACATTATAATAATAGTAAATAGACTAGACAAGTTATTAAGAACAGTATTTTACACCTAACTATGCACATAAGAATATATACCCCCCTTGAGGTGCACAGAGCTATGTACAACACTCCCATTAACGTTAATAGGCGTTACAAGTCTGCACTGAGCAGAGAAATTCTCCTGAAGTATCTTTGTTTACAGCATGTCTGATCTGTTCGCTTATTGTTTATACATAATGAGTAAAAAGCTTTAGTGGGTGAACCTGCATGCATATATGCACACATATATGTTGTGTGTACGCTTACACATATGTATCTTTTGGCAAAACCTTTGGGAGTTCTGAAATCTGTATATGTGATGTGTTTGAGCTGCCATTTCAGCAATGACATTCGACGCATATGCTCAGTTCAGGTTGCTAAAATGGCTACTTAGTTAAATTTAGTATTTTTATTTCTGTGGAGTGATTCAGTTTTTCTGTATTTAAATCTTATGTAGTTTATCTGTGTGTTTGCATGGAGGAATTGAGCTTTTTTTCCACTCCCTATATACAATGAAGAAAGGCCAACAACTGTGTAATTCTCCTTCATTAGAATTATATATGCCTGAAAGTTAGGAACATACCTTTTAGTTACTGAAATATATGATTTGTGTTAGTATGGCCAAATGTGAATGTCTTTGTCTTGTGCTTTGGGGTTTCAAGGGACACAAAAAATCTTGTGGGTTTTCATGTATTTCTAAATGCACATCATGAAAGGGATCACTGGAAATAATTGCTTTATAGATGTAGGCCCCTTGTGCTGTAGAACTATACCATTCAAGGATGTAGGTCAGATCAAGATCCAATTCTATTTCTCTTGTTTTCTGTTACCTTTTCAGCTGACCAGAAAATGTGGTGCTGATAGGCGCACTAGGCTTGGAGGTGTACTGGGGAACATCTATTAATCATACATTATTAGAACAATGGAAGAGTACTGATGTTGATCATATTTGCTGAGGAATGTACTTTTACTTAAGTGTTGCTAGAAAGTAAAAATGCTGCTTTTGTACCAATTAATTTCTAACATTCATAAAATATGTGGAAGTTTACACAGCCCATTATTTCAAACAAATTTACTTTTGACTACTATAATATTCAGTCTGCTTTATTTATTTATATTTTAATTCTTTTAATGTAGAATTCGAATAATGAAATCACTAAGCAATCAACCACCATTAAGTCACTAAAAAACGAAGTCCAGGAAAAAGAAGAACGGATTCGGGAACTACAAGCAAAGTAGGCTCACTCTTCTATCCATTGTGTTTGGTGCCACCCAGTGGCAGCTGTATGGCTGTTAGAACATTAACCATTCCTAGATAGACTTTTAAGAGCTTGTTTTATTCTTCTTTTTATTTCGTTCTTGCAGATTATTAGGGGTGGTTTTTTTTACATACTGGAGCAGTATATGCTAAAACTACATTTTGTGTAAACTGATAAGTGATTAGCTAGCTACAATGTCTGTATTGCAATAAGAATACCTTCAATCAAAGCTCAGACTCTAGACCATTTTATCCTTGATGTAAGTCTAAATGAATTCCTCAGCACTGTTAAACACAGTCTTTCAAATACGTTAATTCTTTGCCTAGGGGCTAAGAGGCATGTCAAGGTTCAGATGCTTAAACAAGATTAAACATCCAGTCTTGAATTCATAAAAAGTCCAAAAGGCCAGTTGTTATTTGTTTCTATTTGAATTGAGTAAGATTTACTACTTATTTAGATATGCACATGTATTGTTGTGAAGTATGCAACTAAGACTTTTTTTCTACCTACCTTACCTGATATAATGCTGATCTTTAATTTTAATTATATTACTATATAAACTTAAGCTATTACTGTGTAAACATACGCTATCTATTAATGTCTTGCCTGGGCCAGAGTGTAACTCCTTTAACCATTCTATTTTTTTTTTTTTATTTGTAGAAAGAATGCAGTTTACTTATCTGAAATTAGTTCATATCAAAAATGGAGAACTATTGAAATTGTTGAATTGTGTTCATTTTGTACTTTCTGTTTTGAAGTTATACTGAATTTTTCTACCAAAAGACTTAAATTTAAAATAGAGTTACTGGTTATCATGTTTCCTTTATAAAATAGATACTGTTTTTTCATAAACTGTAAGATATAATCACCAAAATAACATTAATAGTATAAATGTGAAATAGATACAGAAAAAATTTTAAGCTGCACTTTTTTTCTCTTTTTTTTTTTTAATACGGTATTAACATGGTATCAAGAATGTTTTATTCCTGAACATATTACCATCATGCATTTTGCTTTCATTATAAAAGAAGTCTGAACACATTTAAGTATTGCTTATTTTTATATTTAGAATACTAATTCGTATTATAATGGTGGAGGCATAGTATAAGGGATAATTTTCTAATTGAACAGATGTTATTTTGTAGTATATAAGAGTTTCATTTTTGAGAAGTTTGTGAAAAATGCTGATGTTATTTCTAGGTTTCTCAGTTTTTAAGAATTATCTTATTATAGAGATAGAGATTTTCCATGTATTTCTCAGTTGAACGAAAGGAGACTTCCCCCTTTCACTTTTTTTAAAAAAAAAAATTCTGTACAATACAGTGTTTAAATGATACCTGCTGGAGACATCAGGGACATTTAATGAATTAAATTTTGTTTGTTCAACAGGCTTTTTGCCCTTTTTGATAATAGCTTAAGAAGAATTATTCTGATTTCAGATCAGACTACTTAGAGCATATATCACAGCAGAAAGCAAATCACAAATTAATTGGATATTTAGAAATAGGTCTATTTAATAAGAGACTTGAAATTGGTTTTAATGGTAGAGAATAAGGTAAATTGCAAGAATTGCACCAGCTTTTATTAAAAAAAAGATGTTCTAAAGCTATAGGAATTTCTATTGCATGTATACTTTTTAGTTGTTTGAAATAGTTGCATATTAACAATATTTTCTAACAGTGACATGCAGTGTAACTTCTCCCCTTCTAGGATTTCTCGACTGGACAGGGACCTTAATATGAAAAGACATTTGATAGAAGACTTAAGGTCTCGCCTAAAAACAAATCAAGAAAATGAGAAAACTTCTAATGAAACATTAGAAAGTCTTGAGAGAAAGGTAATTCTTTTTTGCTATTGATAGTTTTAGGAAAAGCAAAAACTGGTGGATTTGCAGAAGTTATTTCAACATGCTATACATACTAAATCAATATATTGCTTTAAACAAACAACATAGTTATAGGTGAAATTCCCTCTACTATAATTTGTATAAAATCAGTATATGGTGGCAGTTTAGATGGATTCAGCATAATTTAACATATGTTCTTAAGAAGTATAATTAAATATTAAGGTATTCAGAACAATGAGTTGCAAGAATATGCTGTAAGGAGTGAGATTTAGTTTTATGCACTGTTAAGTTTGTGAAATATAGTAGACCTGAAACAAGGGTGATTTTACATGACATATGCTAATGAAGTCCATGCACATTTCCTGCCTATAGTAGTTAAGTGCTTTAATATGTTAATCTGTTTTCTACTCCAATGTTATGAATGATTTGCAGTTCTTAATTTAATGTAATTGTCTGTTCTATAGCAAATTATTCTCTCCTGCAAAATTCTAGGATGATTTCAGTGAAGCTAGGAAAACTTGTATATATTTTGGCATGTGTGAGGTTATGCAGCTTAACAACCCCAAAATAGAGATAAACAATTTACTAATTTGCTTTTAGTTTCCTAGAATGTGGGTTCTTGCTGAATGTCACCACAAGCACTATCTTTGCTTGCAGTTACATAGCACTTTCAGTTGTAGAGAGAGCTACTATCTTACTCTCCATGGCAAAGATAGTGTTAATAAGAAATCTGTAGCCAAAGAGTGAGAGTGTAAGTAAGCAAGGGAGCTAAAGTAAGAAATGAGATAAATACCTGGGTTTGATTTCAGACAAAAGATCTTGACTGGAATTACATACTTTGATGTATCTTAATGTTGTTCTTTGAGTATTTTAAGTGCTGCATTTCTCAGATTCCAGAGAATCAAATTCTGTACATTAATTTGATTATTCCACATGGAAAATCAACTTGATAAATTTTACATTATCTTCAGTAGAAGATCAAAGAAATTCCCTGTTACTCAATATTGTCAGGAAAAATTTGTGATTAATACTGTCAGAATTGCTGAATGATTTTCTAAGAGCATTGGTCTCTTTCATTTTACCCAAAATCGGTGTTTGCATTGTATGGCAGAATGACAGTGATTATCTAAAGACTTTACAGACTATTAGCTTGTAAACAGTTACCATTTTCTCATCTGAGTTTTGACTAATGCTTTTACCTCTGATAGAAAAAATGAGTGGAAGTTGTGGTTTGCTCCCTTTTGCATGCACTGTGACAGCACAATATATATAAACAAACAGCTCTGCACATGAAGTTTTTCTTTACACTTAATACAAGTCAAAACTTCATGTAACAGAATTGTATGCAAACTGATCTCTAGTGGATCAGCAGTAGAGGTTTGTTAAAGACTCATTTCAGAAAAGGTCCTTTAATAAAATTACTTATATAATATGTGCAGTATCGGTAAGTTTAGTTTTGATTTTCATTTTTGAGTTTTGTATCTTAATAGAAAATTGCTCTTCTCCATTCATTATTTCAGATAAAGGCACTGGCTGAAGACTGTTTAAACAAAAAAACTTCCATTGACTCACTGAAACACAAACTGAATGTAGCTACAAAAGAAAAGTCTCAATATGAGCAGATGTATCACAAGGCTAAAGATGAGTTGGAGAAAAAGGTATATTAGAGTTATGATAGCTCCATTGCAGAAATTTTTCATACCTCACTTTCAAACGAAAAGTTGCAAGGTCACCAGCTTAGACTATTTAAATACAGAAAGGGAAAAAAAGAGCAGAATAATAGTAATGTGTTTCTTTGATTTAATTGTCACATCACTGAAATTTAGACGATGAAACATGAATGTAATGACTGAAAATGAAATAATTTTTTCCTTTGAAATTACATTTTATGTGTTGCAAGTAGAATGTTCTGTGATGTTAACCATTGTGTGGGAGGTTGGTTTGTTCATTCATTTATTTGTCATCTACTGTATGTGGATATCAGCTTTTATCATATCACTACCATTTCTCTGTGAATATATTTCAGAATCACAAGCTTACCAATCTAGAGAGCAAAATGACTGAGACTGAATGTGCCATGACTGAACTTGAGACTACTGCATCTCAACAACTACATGGCTTGGCTAAACAGAGCAGACAGGCTTTGGAAACTGTACAGAAGCAGCTGCTGCTCACCAATGACAAAGTAGAACAGTTCATGACATTTGTGAAGGTTTGAGATTTGATTTTCTTTTGAGTGTTCACCTAAATAAAAGTATTCTTGAGTGAAAGCAAAATGTGAAAGATTAAATAAGGGTAATCTTTGGTGCATTCCCTGTTCTGGAACAATTTTTGAAGTTCCTGCAACTCATTTCTGAACTGATCTAAAGGGGGAGAAAGAGTCAATTGCTCTAGGTATATTTCTCCTAGACTTCTGAAGGCTTCCATAATATTTATTGGTCATCATGTTGTATATGGCTGCCAGTATACTTGTTCCCAAGAAAAAATGCTTAGTTATATAGCAATTTACTCTGCAAAAATAAAATTGCACTACATACTTAAGAAAATAATTCATATCTGTTGATTAGCATGAATGACCTCATTTTCCAAATTCATGTGCTTTTTATTGCATAAATATTAAAAAAGATGCTTCTATGTTGCAAAATTGAATGCAGTTTTAAAAGCAGTATGTAGAAAATTATTTTCTTTCTTTGGTTAAATACTTAACAACCTATTACAGTGCATCACACAAGAATACTGTGTCTGTGGTTTATACAGATTGCTTCATCATACTACTTCAGTGTGAAGTTCTATAAAATGACTAGTCTGTGTTTTATATATTGATTTTGAAATAAAAATACTGTTTTTCTGAAATATCCATTAGTAACTAAGAATTACAATGCCTATTCAGTATATATCTATCTTGAATTAGTATATATCTACTACAGACCTATTTTCAGACAAGGTTCTATCTTACTAACCCATTAACAGATGCACTCCTTTATTGTTCTTGGATTTCTGTTGAGGTGAGGTGCTTCCAGATACATTTGAGCAAGTCAGATGGCATCTAAAATAAATAATAGTGGTATTTTAATGCACTGTAAAAAGAAAGCGTATATAGTTCTCTCTTCATTAATAAGTTTCCAGAGTGGATTGAAAGTTAGTAACTTACGTACTTGTGCATTTTACCTTCATTCTGTCATCATCAGATAACAAGTCACTCTACATGGCAGTTTTCAGACCTGGCTTTGGCCTGAAATTGTCCCATTTTCAGTTCAGTTGCAAAATTCACATCCACTTCATTGAAAAAAAACCTGAGCAAAGTTGAATGCTCTTTAAATCCTGAATTTAAAGAATTTATAAACTAAAATATCTAAGGCGAAAATGATTGACTTCCATGAAAAAAAGAAGTGCCTGTTATTTAAAAAATTAATTATTTTGGTTTTTAAGTTTGTGATTAAAATAAAGGCTATTTTCTGCTTGCCTTGTTTTGTAACCTTTGGGAAAGTGGTGTAAAACCAAACATTGTGTTCTGTGATTAAGAAGTATCTTGCCTATTATTGAACAAACTGTTATTCTTTCACGGGGAAAAATGTAATTTCTTCTAAAACAAAATGTTTTCACTAAGAGTCAAAAAATGTGTGTTCTTTCCACAGCTGCATGCTTATTTTTGGCTAAGTGTGGGAAAGCCTGAATTAAGCTAAATTTTTTCTTTTTTCTTTTTTCTTTTTTTTAAATGAAATACTGATATGTTATTGATGACAAAGAGGTGCAACTCAGTCTCCATTCAGGCTGCTATTAATTTTGGAATTACTTCATTGAATGAACTACAGTAGCAATTATAGGCAAAAGAGATAGACAAGTGTTGTACTATTGATACTTTACATACTTCCAAAATGAAAAAGTTTGTTAAAAACTAGAAAATGAGAAAGTAAAAGATCTTCTATTCTCAGAAGTAGTGTAATGAGGAAAATTGCCTATTAGCAACTATTATGATAGTTCATTCAACACTGAATAAGATGGCTGCTTGTCTGTTAGTTACTGTTAGTATTGGTCAGCATTTACATGATCTTACTGTATGTGAAAAGAACGTTAATATGTAGTTTCTCTATAAATAATAACATTTGGCTAATAAGGCTAAATATGTAGTTTCTCCCCTGGATAAAAGAATATGCATGCATATTTGAAGTAACATTTTTGCTGACTACTGTTCCTCTGCAGAAAGATCTTCTGAAAAAAAAGATGCTGTCTGTAAGTTCCTCAGTAGACTGCTTTCCTTAGTTAGGTAGTAAGTATTTATGGAAAAAAAAACCCCTCTCTCAAATCAGATTTTATTCACAGTATAACACTGTAGAAAGTATAGCTGAAAATCCTCTGTGTTTCCATGGAATTTTGTAGTATATTGAGTAAATCCTTTTAAAATGCCTCTTACGTATCTGTTGCTATAGCCTGCATAGGAAGATGAAGGCGGCACAGTAAGTAGCAGTACTCCTTCCTGCGCCAATTTTTCCTTTCCTTCCAATTTTTCCTATCTCATTCTACTCTCTACTTCCAGGTAGAAGTTAATTTTCCCTGATCTTAGTCTTCACTCAAGTTTCAGTAACTCAAATAAATAAGTTTTTCTGCATAGAGATCAAGTCTAAACTGTCTGTTGCTTAACCTGTTTAATATGTTTGTATGACCCTCTTATCTTTGCCTGCTATTCTGATCACTTCACAAGTCTTGTTTTTCTGAGTGCAAGTGTAATCTTCTCCTCATTAATCAGTTGAGTGCAGTTACTTTTTCTACCTGTTCCATGTCTCTCGTGACATTATATAGTTCTTTTTTTAACACAGAACAATTAAATCATTTCAGTGTTGTTAATTAATAGCTACAGCTAATTATAGGACAACAGAGAAACTTCAAAGAAGAGACTGTGGCTCCTGTTTATAGCAGACACTGTTACTTGCCTTTAGAGTTATTGATAACTCAGAACCACAGAATCTTGAATCCATTTGGATCAATATACTAAGTTGCCAAACCTGGGGGAGAGGTTTCTTATAGAAACCTCTGATACAGAACACTGGATCAAATTAGAGGATATGATGAGTTATGTCTTAAGCACATATTTGTAATGTACAATAAAGCATTGCATTGCTATGGGGAGCCCAGTTTGGGACAATTACACAACTAACTAAAATAGTTTCTAACAATGGTGGAAGAAATAATTATAGTCAAAAGTTGCTGTATCCAGTAGGTTATAAGTCATTATTGGACTTGGATAGTGATATAGGGATCAGGTGTTACATCTTAAATTACATTCAGTGGGAACCAACAGGACACCTAAAATAGGTTGGTTCAGAGCAGCTCATTTCTCTGCAGATGCTATGAGGAAGATAGGCTAGTAGAAAATAAGAATAGATATTATGCACTGTAACAGTTTAAAGTAAACAAAAAAAACACAGTTCCATAATTAGAGGGTAGCTCTTTATAAATACGTAGTTCAGTTTGTTAAGAAAAGGAACACAATATTTAGAAATAAAAAGGCAATATAAAGGAAATGGAAATTTGAATATAGATAATGATGTGAAAATATGAGCAGCAATAGAGTATAGAGGATGGAGAAGAGGCTAAAGAAATCAAGAGGAAATCTGTGGATAGCAAGGCCAAGAACAATAGTAAAGGGGCAGGATTAAAAAATGTTCTAGCAATAAGATACCTATTGCAGGGTGGATACAACCTATTATTAGATAAAACAAATGTGTTAGTATGTTAAGATAGAGGTCCTGTATGAATATTTCTGGTTTGTATCTATCTGGAAGGAAGTAGGCTCATGTTATATGAAGATAATGAAGCATCCCCTGTCTAATAGTAGCTAATGGACAATTTTAAGCAATTTCTAGAAAGAAGTCACATTTTTACACTGAGAACTTTTATAGCTTACAACTTTATAGGCCAGGTTAAGGAATTTTTATCTCGCTGATCCTCATTTTCAGTAAGTATTCAAAGTGAGCGTATATATACTACAACAGTGCCATGAGTCTAAAAGAATGATAATACTGAGTTGATATTTGGAAAAGGCAGTCAGGATAGGTATTTTTAGGTCAGTTTGTCTAACCACATTTCTGGCTAAAATAATGAAAATCTGATAAATTAAATTATTAAACTATTAAATTGTGGGAGCATAGTTATACTTCTTAGAATGGCTTTATGGAGAATAAGTTGCATTGAATAAATCTGATTTTTTTTCTGGAAGCCAGTACAAGTCAGCTGGTAAAGGTTACTGTTCATTTTAATAGACTGTTTTTTAAGATGTCTGACCTATCACTGAGACGTTCAGGTAAAAAAATGTAGGCTATGCAATATCAACAATGTGTTGAACGGATCCAAAATGTCCCATGCAGTTGATCTAAAAAGTAATTAATGAAATTTAGGTGTTTCTAAAGTTCTGTAAAGATCAGAACTAAACTTGATTATTAAACATTTTCAGAGAGTTGGCAGCTATGAAGACTGATAAATAATAATGAAACTAAGGCTATAAGTATAATGTAAGCTAAGCCAAATAAAACATTTTTATTACAGAAGAACACAAACTATCTGTAAGAGGGACCAGGTGGCTCTGAGAGTGTTTCAGACACCTTTTGTACAGCTGCTTGTTTCTATCCCATCCATCTTCCAACAGCACCATAAATTCTCTTTGAACCATTCATCCAGTTTCTATGGGGCACCATTGGTCAGTATTTTATATAACATGTACTGCCCTATTGGATCCTCAGGTAGATCTTGCCAGTTACGTGCAGCACAGCAACAAAAGCAAAACGTTCTTTGTTGTACAGTTTGTAGTACCTGTGAAAACACATACAGAAAACAGCCACTGCATAAACTTAAAAAACCGCTATTAGACTACTTGACTGGATGTCTGTCAAATATAAAGTAGAACATAATAGTTTGCTATGAAACTGTCCAAGATCCTGCCTAATTCTGCAGGAATTCTGTTTTCCTGCATTACTGTATTTGGTGAGGTTTGGGGGGTTATTTATTAGCTCACCTAGACTTTGACCACATAATTGCTGTTATGGATCCTTGTAAGCTCAGACCTCAGTAGTGTTGTCTGTCCCATTCAACTTGTCCATCAGCAAAACTAATTTTTATAAGTTAGTCTGCAGTGATGACATCTGCATTAGCATGAAAATATTGGAAGTTTTCTGACCTTGAGGATGATATTTTGTAGTTTTGATGAGGCACCTATATTCA